AGAGAGAGAGAGAGAGAGAGAGAGACAGAAAAAAAAAGAAAAAAAATCGAATCTCCGGACCGTGATCACCGAGAAGGGGATATTATATGATGGTGATTGATCGATGAAATATCACCGAGGTCTGACGAGATCTTTTCCTTGGAGCTACTGTACTCGAAATTCAGCCCTTACGAATTCACGATATTGCAATTCCGACGGGACACGTGTGTCCTGCTGTTGCACGATATCGATGCACTCCGGCACGGTTGTGAATAAAGTCAGTAGGTAACTGGCCGGCATGCTGGCAGGTTGGGTTTATATAGCGTGGGTCTAATAAGATGATACTGTTGAACGCGTGTTGGGACCGGGGCCCCAACAGAAGAACAGAAAGAGGGGACACACACCGTTGATGAGCGTTGCCTTGTTTCACCTTGCTTTAGAACCTTGCCATCATCGACCCGGCGAGCGCGAATCTTGCACCAATTCCCTCCTTCGCCAGCCGTCACTTTATTACTTTTGCCTTTGTCCTCTTCTCGTTCATCGACTCGCCTTTTCGCTTCCCACCTGTTTATTTCCTTCCTTCGGAGTCTTTGATACTTGCCATTATACGAATTATTCGAGCTTGAAAATTGATCTTGCAATCAGCGATTGGAAAGAAGATCAGGCAGAATTTTTCTTCCTTTAGACGTGCCCACTGTAATAACATTTATAACAATACAAAGTTCAAAGGTCAAAATATAGAATTGAAAATTTTCAGGTCTAAATTTACCTCTGCGTGTTATACCTCTGATGTTAGTACTTTGTAATAGCAGTATTAATTAAATTCATACTTTGCCTCGAATGATCCGCTAGAAATACCATGTTACAGACATAACATATTTCCACTTGAGATCCACGAGACTGACGTGATCGATAACTGTAAGGAAAGGGAACGAAGTTCGAAACACTTCAACGTGATGATCCAACCTCTCCTACTCTCCTCTGCACCTCTATGAAATATCAAATTCTTTCCGATACGTAGAGCACGATATTATCGATGGAACGACTTCTTCATGCTGCACCTTCGAGGCTAGAAGTCAGCGCGTGCGCGCGCGCGCGCCTCGAAATATCATTTGGATCGCACTGATCCGGATCACTCTTCTTCCCACGATGCTGGCTAAAAGTGCAGTCGCAGATCAACTACATCGACGATACCTCTTTTTCCCCCCCCCCTCTCATTTTGTTTCGTGTTTTTCCGTTCTTTTTTTTTTTTCTTATAACGAAATGCATCGTTAAATCAACGCGATGCCGCAATTTTTGATCCTTCTCACCGATTATTTCACATTTCTTCGGGCGATGCATGCGCATAGTCATGAGATGCGCCCTTTCAACCAGTTCCCTGCGTTACTGGGCTTCCATGATTAACGAAATTATGACTAAATTTACGACGATAATCATCACCTCCTGGTTGCAGAAGTGAATTAACGCTGCAAATGGTACACGCCCCCCTCCCCCGTTATTTTTCCACTTGGAGATTATGCACTTCGGAAGATTAGTGTGAAACGCTAGAAAGTGAAGCTGCGTTGGGAAAACGCTTGGACGAGATGTCCTCGATCGATACGGGCTGTACACAATGAAGACAGTGTAATTTGGGAGAATGCTTGGATTCGGTAATATCGATTGACAGGGAAGATATTCACGAACTGTATGGTACGGAAGATATCCAAGTCTGAAATGAGAGTAAAATTATTAGGTTCGATGGAATTGCTAGGCTACGAAGAGATTTATTACTGAAAAACGCGAGGCGCGGTTGAGAAGACGAAATGAAACTGATTGCTCCTCAAGATGTCCAAATCCAATCGTGAGATTTCGAAACGTGAAAAAGAAAGAGAGAGAGAGAGAGAGAGACTGTGATATATTTATTAGAAAGTATAGGGAATAAACAAACCAGTGGCAGAAGAAGAAGGAGAGACAGAGCAATCTAGTATCGTTGGAAGAGACTTCTGAACGTAGAACCGAGGCATCTCCTCGGCCATGAAAGGGTTGAAGCAACTTCTTGGATGCATGTGTAAGGCTGGGCAGGCAGCAGGCAGAAGGCAGATTGCTCGCCGAGCAATTCCGAGCGTGCGTATTCGCGCGTGCCTTTCTCCGCTTGCTCACTAAACTCCGTTAACACCTTGGATTCTTTCTATTCTTCATTTCCTTCAACAATGCAAATTTTCGTCCATCACGAATCGCATATAATTTCGCGCAAATTGCGAGCCAATCGTTCCAAACTATTTCGGCCTAATATATAATGGCAGTTCCAAAACCACGCGGAAGAAATATTAATAAGAATTTTTCAAGACTTCATTCAGGATCCACAGAATCTTTCTCCTTCGCTGTCGCATGGCATGCAAGAAAATATAATCAAGCACATACCGAACTGCATAAATCGTATGAATAACTGAACAGTAGGAATAACTCAACGCCCACCGCGCATACGTAGACACGGATTTTGCGTCATTCTTATGGAGAAGTTGGCACTCGAGAGGACATTACGGCATGTGCTGCTCGTCAATGAATTTCTTTCTGAATTACACCCGACAGTGGGCGTAACCGCGATTGGTAATTATCTGATAATTCGTGCAACGGCATTCTAACACCAGTTTCACAATAGACAGATGCAACCTACTCGGGATGGATATGTCCTCCTCCTCCCGGATAGATGCCCAGCCACCCAGTGCACTTGCATTTCGCAACATTTTCCGCACCACTTCCCACGATCGACGGCGCGTAACTTCTTTCATACACTCCGTGTTCGATAATGAAGGAAGATCGTCCAGATCGATGATCTACGGGATTACTGGTCTACGATAGTCTACACCACTATTTGCATTGGAATTCTGTTATTACTTTCCAGGATTGCAGAAGTCATTAATGGCCTCTACGACTTTCAGGATCTATGCTAATCTAACAGAAATGAGATCTGGAATATTAAAGCTGGAGTTGAAACACAGAAAAGATTCTTTTTCTTAAAGTCAATACATATCTTCGCATTAGACTCCCCCATAATTTGTATCATCATCGTTTTTTTCACACTGTGTATGTTTTACACTCTCTTTTTTATCAAGAATTCTTAAAAAAATGAAATTCCAGAAAAGATGGAACGTTCCAGTAATCCATGAAAAATGTAATCCAAAGAGCACTATAGCGAAGTGAGCTAGGATCATTTATTTGAAATGAATGAGTGATTAAGAAACTGTGGACCAACAGATCCCATAACCTGTTGCCCCATAGATAATCGCTTCTCCAGATAAATCGCAGAATTTCACACACACACACACACATTACATGCAATCATTCGTTGATGATCCAACCCAATTTGCAATTAAACTCTAAAATAGCAGCACAATGCAATTAAGACTCCATCATCTCACCCCGTTGATTTCTGAATATATCAACTGTTTAAATGTCAGAAGTTGAAGTTATGGGGCTTGTTCATTTTGCATAAAGCAGGCCATCCGACTTATTTACATATCAATTTATTCAAAAAGTTGCAGAATATCAGCAAGCTTTGCAGGCATAAATTAGAACAAATTATGTTAGATCTCACGATAACCAGTTCTAATATGTCAAAGACAAGGAGATATCACATAAGTCAACATTAAATTAAATGCCAATGTATAAATGTTTATTAAGGATTAAATTTATACATAAATGTGTAAATGTTGCCTGGAGATTGAAAAGTGAAGCTGGATTAAGAAGGAGAGGGAAATATTTGCTGAATAAATCGCACGTTGATTACAAAATATATCCAAAGAAGACACGAAGAAGATTCTAGAAATTTGAAAAAATAAGAGAGACTGGATTTCAAATAAATATTGCTGTGAACATTGACAAATTGAATATAAAAATAGTCGTAAAACTTAAAGTTCGATGAGAAAGATTCTGAAGAGAGATAGGATTTCAAAAGCTGTCAAGTTAAATTTATCATTAGTGCTTATATTGATATTAGCAGTATTGGTATTTTAGTGAAATACCATTTTAAATGAAAATTTCATTATAAGTTTAGTAATTAATGTTAATGAGCACAAATATAATACATGAAAAATAACGTCATATTATAAGACATTTAGAACTACAGCAACCAATGGCGCGACACTAGCGCCACACGAGCCATAACTCATCTCGCTTAAGTCCACAATTTATATATACTTGTTTAACAATCATTTAAAACGTTGATTGAATATTCCGTTTGTTCGTAACGTGAGAGTGTCAGTGATTATCTACAAAGTACATAAATTTCAGTTTTTGCTCGTCAAGGAAAATCGAAGAACAATCAATCTTTCTCCGATGTCCTCCGAATTTTATGCATTTCCACGATCACAGTTCGATGTCTTCGCAGAGAAAGCGGCCGACGAGCGGAATTCCAAAGCGTAACATCGAGCGTAAACTTATGAAACGCGAAACTGAAACGGCATCAGCGGGCAATCGTCGAATTTATTTTTATACTGCGCGGAATCGGTGTGGATGGAACCTCCGCGGAAGGAGAAAAAGAGCCATGATGGCGCCAGTGTGCCTCGCGCGTTGCGTAATCACGCGATCCGCAGAGGCGGCCTTAAAAGTGGAAAACTTTTTAAGATTCCAGGATCGTAAAGCGAACTAATTGCTCGGTGCCGCTGACGGGCGTCGTCGACTCATGAGAAAGTTTTCTCTTTCAGCTTAATTTTTCCACGGTCATCAAGGCCTGCCAACCGTTCCCCCTCCTACGTTCTCATGGGAAAGAGCAGATTATTTTCTAATAATCCTCCGTCGATTGTCTCACCTTAACTCCAACTTTTAAGCTAACCTAGGGTCAGGGAACATTTCGATGTCACCAATGCGAAACAAAACCTTTCAGCTTTCAGCTCTTAAGCTTCGTATCTTTAACTGATCCAATTAAAAAGTTTCGAGTTTTCTGTTAGAATTGCCATTCAGAGAATTTTATCAAAATTTTTCCTTTTTAAGAATCTTCAATTTGGTGTGTCTCTTCTTTCTCACAATCTAGATTTGGTGGGCCAAAAATCAGAGATTGAGGAAGATTGTCAAGTTGAGAAATATCCAAGTAAAAGAGAACACTATCGAAGCTGGAATATCCAAAATTCCAAATGATCTTTCAATTTCAAGCTTAAATATCTGTTCAAAATATCTAATCAAAACAATTGCATTCAATAACCAGAGGTTAATTTCAACGATAATTGAAATTTCATATCCCAATAAATTAAATTCCACTGTTACAGTAGCTTAATTCGTAATTGGACTGGAAAATATATTTCTACCGTGAGAGTGTTTATTAACTGAACGATAGAAGATGAGAGTAATCAACAGTGTAAGTAGCTGTGGTTGCAACTACCGTATCGAATTGGACTGACGTGCGGTAAATTTGATGAAATATCTGTGTTACGTGGAGAATCCGACAATTACGGTCGAGCAGGTACTAGTTTTCAATCGAAATGCTCGTCAGGAATTATGTTCCCGTGTATTATTGCCAAGATATATATCGCTAGAATACGCCATTCAAATAAATTTAGAAAGCACCTTGGCTTTCTAACAATCACAGAATTTATAAACAATTCTACTTCGTCAAATCTAATTCTTTTCAAATTGAAAGTCATTCCAGTGAAAATAAACGGAACTTTAACTTAATTCTATCATACAATACAATTTTTAATATTGTCATATAAAGTATCATTTTTTTTCTACCTTGGAAAAACAAAATTTCGACAATATTTTTCTTTTCTCTCGAATATCTCTACAAAAGATAAAGGAATGAAAATAATATCATAATTATC